TTCCAGTTTTTTTAGTTTGGCCTTGATGTCGGAGTAGGATTGAGCCAAAAAGGGCGTGGCGTCCGTCTTCCGAGGTGGGATCTAGGTTGGTGTATTGTTGGAGAGCCTGAGTATTCGATTATGGGACTCAGATGGGGTTTCTTCCTTTTTTTGGATAACATCATGGACTTTTTGGAAATTAACAACTTTGCGAGCGGCCTTTTTAAGACTGGCCAGGAGGCAAGAACTAAAGTCATCTCTGGCCTGAATTCCCTGTGGCGTGTTGTAATCCCAATGTGGATCCTGTTCGGGAACTGCCTGGGGGCCAATGGGGAGGGCAGGGTTTGTGCGGTGGACTTCATCTGCATGACTCTGAGCCACACCCCAAACGCGATCGTGTTCTTCGGAAAGGAGGGTGTTGGCCAGGAGCATATAGATGTCATGATGTGTGAGACTGTATGCCTGAAGGACTCATTAGAATTCTTTAATGTAAGTAGAGGGGTCAGTGGTGAATGACCCCAATCTCCTTTCTAGCTGGGCAAGATCGGCTAATGAAAAGGGAATGTGTACCCTTACGACCCCCTCCGCACCAACTACTTTGCGGAGAGGAGCCATGGTAGAGGAAGGGAGGAGTCACTGGGAACAAGTCACAGGGGGACTAAAGGAGGGCGCCAGGGCAGGTGAAATAGGAGTCGGCAGGGAACAAGATGGCAGTAAGGTGGGGCTAGAAAATGGCTGGACAAAAGATGGTGACAGAGGAAAAGAAGATGGCGGCAGAGCTGCTTGTGGGGGTTGAGAGACAGGAAATGGCGGTGAACCGGGGCTGGAAGAAACAGGGGAGGAAGAGGCAGGAGGGAGAACAGGCTGACTAGGGGCCCCTCACCCTGCAGCGGCTGCCCCGGAGACCAGGGCTGTTTACCGGCCGGCCGGCCGGGTGCAGGAGGTGGATGGAGCGGATTTTGAGCAAGCAGGTGGAAAGCCTCCACATATGGAATCTCTTTCCACTTTTTAGGCGCTGGCAGTAATTAACAAGGTTCTGGAGAATGTCAGGATCAAGTGTGCCCTCAGGGGGACACTTATTTTGGTTATCTAGGGGATAATAAGGCCAATCTTGTGTGCAAAATTTGGTGAGGAGTTTGGGTTTGATGTCAGGCTTGAGGGATAGGGTGGTGAGGTTGTTTAAGAGACATTGTAAGGGTGAATCACCCTGGAGAGAGGAGGTGGAAGCTCCCATTCCAAAGAGGATTAGAGAGAGAGAGAGGTTTTAAAAGGAGAAGGAACGAGCCTTCCGGCCGGATGAGAAGGACGGAACTCAGAGGGCATCCCCAATGAGTCGTGCCGTTCCCAGGAGATGGGTTCCTGGAACCCAGGAAGGAAGGGGGTGTAAGTCGTCACCTAGACCCTTGCTTCCCGTAGACAAAATGCCGGAGGAGCCAGAAGGACCTAACGCATTAGGGTTTACTGGACGGCGGGGGTCCTGGACCCGGTAGGAAGAAGGTTAGATGGGTTCAAGGATGAACCCAGGAAGGAAGGGGGTGTAGGTCATCACCTAGACCCTCACTTCCCGTAGGCAAAATGCCGGAGGAGCCGGAAGGACCTAGCACACTAGGGTTTACTGGACGGCGGGGGTCCTGGGCCCGGTAGGAAGAAGGTTAGATGGATTCAAGGATGAACCCAGGAAGCAGGAAGGTTAAAAGGAGCGAGAGAAAGAGAGAGGGAGGAATGGGAGGTTCAGCCTCCGGGGCTGGCAACGTGTCCATGCCGGGGCCAGGGGAATGTGATTAGGGTGAAGGTTTAAATAATCTACAAGCTTTACAAAAGGAAACGGGGGCTTACCTAACGGATGAGCCGGTGGTGGGTGAAGGAAGCCAGAGCCGGAGAAAGATAGACGAGGGCGGATGTCAATCCTGGGTGGTCGCGGAGGAGTCCGAGGAGGTCGGAGGA